GTTATGTCAGTAGCATTTTTGGTGGGTTCTCTATAAAAGTCATAGCACACCATTCCCGAAGAAACCGCATGGTTTGACCCCACTTTCAAGGGTCTGGGGCGAAAAATGCTCGGAAAAAGAAAAAATAATAATAAGAAGAAGAATGAAGAATAGCAATAGTGAGCTTTACCTAAGTTAGTAGTTTTAAAACTTCTTTCACCAAGTGACCACCTCAGAAAAAATGGGTTTATATTAAGTGTCCTTAACTACGTACTTACATCAAAAAAATAAATACAATGTACTCACTGTGTTTATAATGTATTTGAGAACACTTTTGAGTTGGGATAGAGGTTGGGTTATGGACAGGTTTGGTGGTATGGGTAGGTTTAAGGGTGGGTTAAGGTGTAAGGGATGGCCAACAGTGTATTTACAAATGTAATTACAAAAGTTAATTACAGACGTAATGACATACATGTATTTAATCAAGCATAAGTACACAGTAAATACATGTATTTACACAATAGGTACATTGTAACAAACTATTAATTCCTGTGTAAGTACATATTAGTTAAGGCCACTTAATATAAAGTGGGACCAAAAATTGTCTCCAAGTACCACCATAATCACCGGTTTGAAATAAAGTAGTGTAGTTGGCCAAATTAAGCAGCTACAGCACTGCTCAGTTCGAAAATGAGTCATATTCATTCAACGTAAATCAAAGGCGGCAACAGCAAGGCTCCAAAAATACAAATGTATTAAATTAAAAAGGCTGAGACAGAGCGTGTAACGTTTCGAGCCAACCGGATCTTACACGCTCTGTGTCAGCCTTTTTAATTTAATACATTTGTATTTTTGGAGCCTTGGTGTTGCCACCTTTGATTTACATTTAATTTGCACTTTTTGCGGTTTTGGCTGAGCACCCAATTAAGAGAGATGTGCGTGCTTTTGTACAGTTTTTTCATATTCATTCAACGAAATTATATTCCATACAAAATATGAAGCCGATCAGTCGGTTCTTGTCACGTGACTTGCAATGCGGCATTCTAAAAAGTTAGGGTGTTTTCAACTGGGGACACCTGGAATACACAAGCGCGTCGTGCTGCAGTGCTCATTTTGCTAGCCTGTGGGTTAAATTTTGGCACTCGAGTGACCGAGATGCAACAAGAGAATACGGTCAATTTTCAAAATAAAAGATTTTTCAAAATAAATGATCGTTCAGTTCAGACTCAGATTATAAATAAAACAGAAATAATGAATGATTTTTTGTGCGACCCGGTACCAATTGATCTATAGTCCTGTGCCGGTCCCGAGGGTTTGAGACCACTGCTCTAGCAAGTATCTGCTCTGCAAGCACCACGCACTTCTTTCTCTAGTTCTGCGCCAATTAAATCGATTTTTAGCAGCCGATGACGCGATGCACTAAAGTAAACACTTTACACGTTGTTGGTGTTATTGTACGAATCAAATTCATTACTCCGTGATTCCTTCGCGTACCACTAGAAGTAAGCCCACGTACCAGTAGTGGTACACGTACCACAGTTTGAAAACCACTGGCCTAAGGCAACCCCACTGATAAGTGAAGAGAACTCAAACCAACTGAGCACTGTAAAACCCAATAAGTTAAGGCAACTCAAATCGTTTGAGCAAACCGATTGCTGCAAATAATTTGAGTTCAAAACTAATCTACTGTGAACTTACTCCATTTAAGTTGAATGAGGTATTTAATAAACATACTTTCAACACTGAGTTCAAAACTCTTTTGAAATGAGTACAGTAAACTTTCAGTACATTTTGAGTTCACTACACTCAATTTATTTGATAGAGTGGACTGCTGGGTTTCACAGTGTGTTGAAAAAGTGCTTTTTTTTGTTTTTATAACCATTTATGCCCTAAAAAGGAAATGCAGTTGTACAATAACACACATACGTGACACAATTACAGCTACAATTAAATATTAAAACCAAAAATAAAAGGTTAAATTAATATTAATATTGGATGTCAGTATAAAACCACTGACGTTTTTCAATTGTCCTTTGTTGAAGACATGTTTTGATCCACTTTAAATGCTGTTGTAAAGGAATACTTTATATATTTAAAGCCATTTCTTAAAATGTACAATTAATTATTAATTTATCGAACGTTTTTCATATTTGTAAATGTTTAAAGTGTTAAATGAGTGTTAGATTTTATTTTTAAATACAATATTTACACCCTAAAAAGGAAATGCAGTGGTGAAAAAAATTCACAGAAGTGTCATTCACACACGCGCACGCGCACACACACACACACACGACATAAACTCAGCTAAAATATTAAATTGAACGCATAACCATTAAAGCTTAATTGAACACGTTAATATCACATGTTAGTGTAAAACTGACAAACACTTGACGACACTTCTAATGTTGTGTAATAGAAAATATATTATATTAATAATGTATTGATCCGTTTAATAAACTGATATTTTGATATATATTTAATGTTGAAAGGAAAGAGTTAAAGATAATTGATATAAAAATGTATACAAGGAAGTCCATTTGTGAACACGCACACACACACACACACACGCACACACACACACACACACGCACACACACACACCACATAAATACAACTAAAATTCAACATTATTAACTAATAATTAAACCAAATATAATTACACTGAACAATTCCTGAACCTCAAATACTGATTAATGGAAATGTTTAATGAGGAACAGGAACAGCTCATTGTGTGTGTGTGTGTGTGTGTGTGTGTGTGTGTGTGTGTGTGTGTGTGTGTGAGTGAGTTCCTGAAGCAGATGTCAGCTTTTTTATGAGGATCACAGTGTGTGTTTGGGTGTGTGTGTGTGTGGGTCAGAAGAGTGTGTGTTGTTTAATGGAGTGTATTATTTGTTTCTTACCGGCGAGTCCGATGTTGAGCAGGAGAAACACACACACGTCCAGCAGCTTCATCTTTACTCTCAAAAGAAGAAGAAGAAGAGAAACACTGACAGAACAGAACATACACACAGGAAACTGTGGGCTGACACTGTCCATTCACACACACACACACACACGGACACATAGACTAACACTCTCTCTCTCTTTCTCACATAGACACACATTTTCTCAGACACGCACAGACTTACACAAACACACTCTCTTGCAATGATATTCTGGACAGTTGTCAAGGTGTTGCTAGGGGGGTTCTGAACAGTCATCGATGTGTTGCTAGAAGATTTTGAACAGTTGTCAAGATGTTGCTAGGGAATTCTGGACAGGAGTCAGGGTGTTGCAGAGTGGTTTTGAATTGTCAAAATGTTGCTATAGAGTAGCAATGATATTCTGAACAGTTGTCAAGGTGTTGCTAGAGGATTCTTGACAGTTGTCAAGGTGTTGCTATGGGGTTGCAGGGTGGTTTTGAATTGTTGTTGACACGTTGCTATGGGGTTGCAAGGGCATTCTGGACAGTTGTCAAGGTGTGGCTAGAGGATTCTGGACAGTTGTCAAGGTGTTGCTAGAGGATTCTGGACAGTTGTCAAGGTGTGGCTAGAGGATTCTGGACAGTTGTCAAGGTGTGGCTAGAGGATTCTGGACAGTTGTCAAGGTGTTGCTAGAGGATTCTGGACAGTTGTCAAGGTGTGGCTAGAGGATTCTGGACAGTTGTCAAGGTGTGGCTAGAGGATTCTGGACAGTTGTCAAGGTGTTGCAGGGTGTTTTGAATTGTCAAAATGTTGCTATAGAGTTGCAATGGTATTCTAGACAGTTGTCAAGATGTTGCTAGCTAATTCTGGACAGTTGTCAAGGTGTTGCAGGGTGTTTTGTATTGTCGACAAGTTGCTATGGAGTTGCAATGTTATTCTAGACAGTTGCCAAGATGTTGCTAGGGTGGTTCTGAACAGTCATCAAGGTGTTGCTAAGGGATTCTGGATGGTTGTCAAGATGTTGCTAGGGAATTCTGGACAGGAGTCAGGGTGATGCAGAGTCGTTTTGAATTTATCGACATGTTGCTATGGAGTTGCAATGGTATTCTGAACAGTTGTCAAGATGTTGCTAGGGTGGTTCTAAACAGTCATCAAGGTGTTGCTATGGGGTTGCAGGGTGGTTTTGAATTATTGTTGACACATTGCTATGGGGTTGCAAGGGCATTCTGGACAGTTGTCAAGGTGTTGCTAGAGGATTCTAGTCTGGACAGCTGTCAAGATGTTGCTAAGGGGTTCTGAACAGGCATCAAGGTGTTGCTAGGGAATTCTGGACAGTTGTCAAGGTGTTGCAGAGTGGTTTTGAATTGTCGACATGTTACTATGGAGTTGCTATAGTATTCTGTATGGTTGTCGATGTGTTGCTAGTTGGATGACTGTCACGTTGTTGTTTTGGGGTTGCTGTGAGGTTTTATATGGCTGTCATACTGTTACTAGAGGAAAAATAGTTAAACATTTGAAAAGGTTGTCAGGGTGTTATCTGTTGGCTGTCATAGCTAAGCTATGTAGCGGCTAGATTGATCTGGGTTCAAAACGGCTCATCCTTATGCTTCTGAGATTATTGACATTTCACCACTGGCAAATTAAAAAATAATTAACTATTCAATGTCATTAATAAAGTAACACACAAAATTGACCCACAATTAAAGCAGTAAAATGAATACTGTGATCAATCAATACTGTACAATCCTATGATCATTCATATCAGTGTTGAATACAGCATGGACGCGGATGAGATGTTGTCTATTTCAGCTTGATCTACACTGCGCCCTGCTGGTAATACACACGCATTACACACCTTTACAAATCTACAGGACTGTAACAGCAGCCTAAAGGACCTCTCGGCTTATACCTCATAGAGGAGTTTACTTCACAAAACCAGCCTACTAAAAAGAAGAAACTAATAAAACATTTGGAGATCCTATTGACAGCCAACACATCAAAACCACCATAATTCAGAACATTTATATTGCATATTAAATAAATGAGCAATAACATGATTCCTTTTTTTTGGGGGGGGGTGGGGGCGTGGGGGTTGGGGGTATATGATCAAATTAAGTATTGCATTATATATTAGGAAGCAGGACATGATATTGTTTGCTTATATTTGGTGGGTATTATTAATGATTTTGAACGTATGAGCATCAATAATAATAGTCAAATAACATTACAACAACAAT